CACTACACTACACTACACTACACTACACTACACTACACTACACTACACTACACTATATATGTATTTACAGTTATAAAAAAAAAGTATTACTCTAGGGAAAATAAAACCTGCTTTACAAGGATGCCGTGTCTTAAAAATAATAGAATACAAAATGATGGTTAAATTTCATGTTGTAGCATTAAAGATTTAAAAGACTTTAATAGTTGTAGCTGTTCTCAATTCATTTGGTAAACTATTCCAGAGAAAGCCACCACTGTAACTGAAGATTTTTTTAAAGCAATTCGTCCGTGGCAAGGGCAGCACTACCTTACATTCCGTGTTTCTTAAATCGTATTTATTTACCTTGCTACTATCAATAAATTTTAAAGAAAGATAATCTGGAGTCAGGTTATCATTAGTGATTTGGCTCGATTAACTAATGATTTGGCGTAGGCCCTTTGTTGTTGTAAGGGTACCCAGCCTAACTACGAAATATATATATTATTCGTTCTTTCATCATAATTTGAGGTTATAATTCGCGCAGCACGATTTTGAAGCTTCTGTAGTTTATCTGCGAGACCTTTGTTGCATCCATCCCATACTGCGCTGCAATAATCAAAATGCGGTTGAACGAGAGCATTATAAACTACAATTAGTGTTTCTCTTGGTACGAATTGTCTAATCCTTTTCAAAGCACTTATACCTGATGCAATTTTTTTTGATATTGACTGAATATGGTTTCCCCAACTCAGATTCTCGTCGATAATCACGCCAAGAGATTTAGTTGAGGACACCTGAGTTACTGTTTTGTCATTGCTGGGATACCTGTGGTATACCAGCTATAAAATGCCTTTGCTTTTTTGTATTTTTTTCTCCGCGACAAAATGGCAAAGTTGCGCAATAGTACCCATAGATGGATTTAAATGACGTAAACTATTACCCAGAAGACCATTGCGGGTTTCTGCTATAGGATTACCGTCTATGTGCTGACTAATTAGCATCTGCCTTGCTGTTAATCAGTGTCACTATTTTGCGAAGTGATTAGGAAGGGGCGGAGCTAGATTATCACGTGACACAATTAAAGTCTACGCATGCTCTATTTTGCTGACTGCTGTTATTCAAGACTGAGTCGGATTAGAAATTCTAATTTCTTTGTAAAAAAGAAAAGGTTATTAGGTTAGATTATTTTTACGAACTACACATGCTNTCTTAAGTTGTACTGATTCCCATTCAAAGGAATCAGACATGTTTTCGTGTGGACTAGTCCTTCATTATATTGCATTAAAAAAGAATCCTTATGAATCACAAAACCTCCCAGGAACAGTGGATAACATTATGAATGGCAGAAGAAATGAATGGGATCCTTCTCTTTGCCCTGAAAATGTTCATGTATTGGAAAGTATTCTTAAAATAGACAAGGAGAAGAGATCGACTGCAAACGAGCTACTTGGTTATCCTTTCTTCTGGTCAGATGACAAGAAAGTTATTTTCTTAAGAGCGGTCAGTGACGAAGAAATAGGATATCCTGGTGGTGTGAAACGGTTGGAAAACAGGTTCCAGGATATAGTCAAATGCAAATCGTGGGACACGAAAAAACATGACCGTGTAAAGATGCCCAAAATTTTAGAGGAAATGATTTCAATGGTAAAAGAGAAAGACCTCCATGTATCCTACAATAGTGCATCAGTTAGAGGATTGCTTCGCCTTATTCGAAATGCTCATGCGCATATTGTCGAGCTCAACAGGTCCAATGAAGAGATTGGCAAATTGGTTAGTAACCATGTGTTCTTAGAATATTTTCCAGATCTTGTCGTGGAGGTTTTTAAAGCAATCAAACTTTTCAAATGGGATGAAAATAAGCCCGAAATTCAACGTGCTATAAACTTACATTGACTCTCCATATTTGGTACAATTTTATACTTGAACTATAGAGTTTCGCGCGCTAGCGCTGTTATTAGTTGAGCGACCGGTGAGTCTGAGACAATACTGAATCACTACTCGAGCGGTGATCATAAGATTTCTCAAGGTTTGCCCAGTTTTTTATCCAGAATTTCGTCTTTTCTCTGATATTCAAKTCTAAAATTATACGTGAAACAATTATTAACCTCAGGCTCAGTGACTGTGAATATTCACCGATCATCACTTTGCCTTGGGCAAATAATTGTTAAATATATAATTGTTTAATTGTTGGGGGGGGGGGGGTAATGATAAAAACAATATTGCAGCCTTAGATAGATAGATAGATAACTTTTATTTATCCACGGTAGATCCTTCAGGAGAAATAACATCATATCACTAATTAATTACAATTATTAAAGAATAAACTAAGCTTAC